GAGACAGGAAGATCTCACATGCCACAGAGCAACTAAGTCTGTGTTCCACAACTGTTGAGCTTGTGCCCTAGAGCCAAAGAAGTGCAACTATTGAGCTCATGTGCCGCAACTACTGAAGTCTGCGTGCTCTAGAACCTGTGCTTTGCAACAAGAGATGCAACTGCAATAAGAAGCCTATGCACCGCAATGAGAGAGTAGCCCCCGCTTACCGCAACCAAAGAAGAGCTGGCGTAGTAACGATGACCCAGCACAGCCAAAAATAACAAATAAATAATTAAGGAAAAAAAAAGATTGACTGGTTGGATCTCCTGTTCAAGGGACTCTTTAAGAGTCTTCTCCAAAAAAAAAAAAAAAAGTCTTCTCCAACACCAGAGTTTGAAAGCATCAATTCTTTTGGCGCTCAGCTTTCTTTATGGTTCAGCTCTCACATCCATACATGACCACTGGAAAAACCATAGCTTTGACTAGACAGACCTTTGTTGGCAAAGTGATGTCTTTGCTTTTTAACACCCTGTCTAGGTTTGTCATAGCTTTCCTGCCAAGAAACGACTGTCTTCCAATTTCATGACTGTGGTCACCATCCACAGTGCAGTGATTTTAGAGCCCAAGAAGAGGAAATCTGTCACTGCTTCCACCTCTTCCCCTTCTCTGAGAAAGGAGCAAAACCTCCTCCTCAGGAATCAGGACAGAGGGGCCAATGCCAAACTCAAGGCTGAATGAGGCTGTTCATTTTTGGTCACTGGCCTGGCCTCTAGGTCAGATCTTTGGTCAGATATGTGAGTTGCTTCAGTTGTGTCCGACTTTTTACGACCCTATGGACTATAACCCACCAGGCCCCTCTGTCTGTGGGATTCTCCAGGCAGGAATAATGGAGTGGGTTGCCATGCCCTCCTCCAGGGGATCTTCCTGACCCAGGGATTGAACTCATGTCTCTTAAGTCTCCTGCATTGGCAGGGAGGTTCTTTTCCACTAGCGCCACCTGGGAAGCACTTGGGCAGGTATAACCTTTTTTTTTTTTTTTAAATTTATTTATTTATGGCTATGCTGGGTCTATGTTGCTTTCCACGGTCTTTAATTGTGGCGTGGGGGTTTCTCATTGCGGTGGCTTCTTTTGCTGTGGAGCACAGGCTCTAGGCACGCAGGCTTCAGTAGTTGTGACTCACTGGCCCTAGAGCTCAGGCTTAGTAGCTGTGGCTCAGGGCTCAAACCCGTGTGTCCTGCTTTGGCAGGCAGATTCTTATTCACTGCACGACCAGGGAAGTCCCAGGTACAACTTCTAAGAAGCATAGCAGAGATCTGTGGCTAAGACCTTGGGCTTAAAGGCTCAGAGTTCTGGATTCAAGTTCTGACTCCTATTAATGTGTGACCTTTGATGAGACTCAGCTGGGAGGCAGGACAGCCCACCATTGGCTAGGCTTTGGAACCAGGCAGTTTGGTTGCTTCTTGGATCTGTGACCTTGAGCAAGTTGCTCCACCCCTCGGAGTCTCAGTTTGGAAATCGGGACACTCCACCTCCTGGCAGTCTGGTTGGGAGGAGATGGAGACGGAGATGAAGTTCTTATCTCCCAGCTGATCCAAAGGGTTTCAGAAATGTTAGGTTGTTACTGCCATCAACCCTGCTCTGGGGAAACCAGCTTCTGACTGGTTTGGGTGGTGGTTGTCACCTTTCCCCTGATTTGCTACCCACGTGCCTGACGGTAACCAGAGCTTTCATCACACTGGCCCCAGGCATCAAGCCTGGGGCCCCACAGGCTCCGTTCTCCCATAGAAGAGGGCCCCAATCTGGCCTTCCTCCCCTCCCCAAGGTGTCCTACTGTTTGGTGACACTGCATTGGTGATGTCAGGCTGCCTGGAAATGACCTCTTTCAGCCCTCAGGAATGAAAATAACAGAATGCCCTTTGTTAGTGTTTTGAACTCCAGTGGACGTGTCAAATGACAAATGTTTTGGGGTAAGGTTTACACTGGAGGTGATCAAACATTTCCACTCTCACAGTGTCAGCTGGCAAACTGTTTCCTAGCACCATCTGGGCACGTCCTGAGCAATGGCACCCGTCACGGTCCACATTCCACCACCAGTTGGCTCCTTATTGCCTGGGATGGCAGTTGGGATCACTTCAGACTCGGGGTGGGGGGGGTGCTACCACAGAGGACCTCTTCTTCTCTGTGGGGCACTCTGAGGATCTGCAGCCAGTGGCTTGGTAGGACCAGACCTTCCCAGCCAGGGCCCTTCGGGAGGCAGCTTCCCTGGCAGTCAGGCATATCCCTGAGTAGACACTGCCCCCTTGAGGCCTCTTCCCACCATGACACCTGGGAGTGCTGGGTGATACAAAGGGACACAAAGGGACCTGGGTGATACTTTCCAAGCATCCTCCAAGGGTGTCTTTAAAATTGGCCCCAAATGCAAAAGTTTCTGGAGCACTGGTAGTGTAGTCCTTCTCAACTGGAGAACTTGGAACCTACCTTAGTGCCTTATATTGCCTTCCGGAAGAAATACAACTCAGGGCAATCATCAGAAAACAGGCACATAGGACTTCCCTGGTGGTCCGGTGGTTGAGAATCCTCCAGCTAATGCAGGGGACACGGGTTTGATCCTTCATCGGGAAGATCCCACAAGCCCTGGGGAAACTAAGCCCATGTGCCACAACTACTGAGCCCATGTGCCTAGAGCCCGTGCTCTGCAACAAGAGAAGCCACCGTGATGGAAGCCCACCCACTGCAACTGGAGAAAGCCCATGGGCAGTGACAAAGACCCAGTGCAGTCAAAGACAAACAAAATACAGTCTTAAAAAAAAAAAAAACAAGCACATAGTCGTTAGAGATCTATAATTTGCAAAGAGACAGGGGGAATTCCCTGGTGGTCCAGTGGTTAGGGTTTTGTGTGCTCACTGCCCAGGGGCCCTGGGTTCATCCCTGGCTGGGAAACTAGGATCCCACAAGCTAGGTGATGAAGACATAAACAAAAGAAAACACGACAGAATGTGAAGAGGCAGGGGTTTTAGTGGACTAGGGAGAAGTGTCCTTACTTTCTAGTAATTTTTGGAATTGAAGATAAGGTTAGAGTTAAGCAAAATGACTAGTATCAAGGAAAGAGGTAAAGATATCCTGTTGTAAGATTTGAAATTAGATACCAAAATGAGGTGGGAGAAATAAAAGAAAGGATCAATTAACTACAGAAAGGTCAACATGAACTAGATTGAGAACTAAGCAAGTAAGAAGTGGTGGAGGTGTGGAGACATGGTCCTGTAGCTGTTGTACTGATGACAGTGTAACAACTGTGCATGCTGTATGTGGCACTTGGGATCTTTAGCTGAGGCAAGCGAACTCTTAGTTGCCACATGTGGGATGTGCCACATAGTTCTCCAAGCAGGGATCAAACCCGGGCCCCCTGCGTTGGGAGCACGGAGTCTTAGCCACTGGACCAGCAGGGAAGTCCCTGTCAGTGCTTCTTCCTTAACTGCTGGCAGATAAGCACTGTGTGGCAGAGAGCCAGGTCCTTTTTGTTCAGACAGAGGCAGGACAAGCCAACTGTCTGCAGCCTGCCACAGGACCAGAGTGTGGGCCTGGGTCATGCCGTCCCCTGAGCAGGACAAGTTGTTGTCCAGCATTTAAGAGGAGCTGGACTCACGTTCCCAGGCTCTGGGTCCTAGGCAGTTGCTCATTAAATCCCTGAAGCACTCTTTGGAGGTAGTACTTGTGGCTCCAACAGCAGCTAGTCCCCATCAAATATCCGGATGCTCAGCCTCATTTCCCAGGTGCCTTCAGTCAGTTTAGGCCACATAGCCAGCTCTAGAACATTTGTCTGTGAGAAGTGACGTCTGCCCATTTGGGAGTGAGTCAGTTCAGAGCTGATGTGTCTTCTCCATCTCTTTTACCCCCACTGTGGATTCTAGCAGTGAAGCTCTGAAATGTAGGAGGGCTACCAGATACTCCTCAGACTTTGTGAGACAACAGAACCTTGATTGCATTCAGCCAAGGAGTCTGGTGGCTCAGACAGTAAAGAATCTACCTGCAATGCAGGAGACCCAGGTTCGATCCCTGGGTCGGGAAGATCCCCTGGAGAAGGGAATGGCTATCCACGCCAGTATTCTTGTCTGGAGAATCCCATTGACAGAGGAGCCTGGCAGGCTAGTCCATGGGGTCACAGAGTCGGACATGACTGAGTGACTAACAAGGAGGTCTGATTGTTAAGGCAGCTAAGGCAAATTGCCCTGATGTGTACAGTACTATTATAATTCCTATTTATGGAGGCCAAGCTAGCTGCCTATGGTCACACAGCTTCTAAGTGGGCAGAGCTGGAATTCAAACCCAGACCTGACTTGCATGGCTGGTTTTTATTGATAGAGACTATACTTACCTCATGACAGCCTGTCCCCAAGCACTGCTATCGCATCTGAAATCTTATGAGAATGTTCAGCATGGACAGGGCAGGAGGGCAGTGGGAATAGCCAGGATAACTAGTTAATAGTGAGATCCTGCGATTCTTGTTTGCACTGAGCAGTCACAACAATCAGGTTGCACTTCTGCCAGTTGATGGCTGCTCATGGTGAGCATCATGCAATGAAGAAATGACCATGGCTCACCCACACTTGGCAGAGGGTTTCAACAGGGGACTGGAACCCCAATTCTGTGGATCAGGGACGAATTCCTCCCAATGTTGCTATTTCACTCTCAGCTCTTACCTGCTCATTTCCCAGCTCACAAAGGCAGAGTTGCACACTAGAAGCTTCAGAGTTAAAGACTTGGGCTCAAATTCCTGCTTGGCCACTTACTGGATGTCTAACCTTAGGCAAGTCACTGTGCCTTTCTAAGTCTCAGTTTCCTCATCTGTGAAATGGAGATAGTAATACTAATTCCTCATAGGATGGATTGAAGCATTGAGGTAATGGATATAAGGCACTTAACACAGTCCCTAGCATGTGGAAGTCTGTTATCACATAGGGCAGGCCCTCTTTTTTCAGGTTAGGATCAGGGGGCTATCAGAGGAGAGGGAATCAGCATATAGATTTGAACCAAAATCGCTCATGTTTATTTATAAACAGGATACATATACACATACACAGGTATCATTGGAATGTTTCGGGAACCTTGGAGTTGGGGTCTCTTCCTGCTCCCCTTCTTCTCTGGCTCCCTCCTGACTTAGCTTGGGCTCTCTAGAAAGAGGGCTTCTGATGTTTTCTTGCTGGAAAGCCTGTGGGTTCTCTGGTTGGGCTTTCACTGCTTCTTCTCATGTCCGCATCTGCCTGTCTCAGTGGGCTGTGGACAAAGGGCTGTGAGCTCAGTCATTCATGTCTAGGCCAAATTCTGGATACAAGTCCTTGGTGGTGACACCTCGGATCACAGCTGGAAGGAAGGAAGGATGTCCAGTGAGCAAAGTGGGAGGGGGAATGGCCAAAGCCCTGGCCCACCCAGGACCCCCTCCTTCACTTTTTTCCTGCTCCTCTTCTTGGCCACATAATCTTCCTGCCATTCCTTCCAGGCTCCTCCACTGTGAGCCCTGTCCACTCACTCCAAACTGGACTCACTGAATCCTCACCCACTTGGCAGAGGAGTCAAACAAAGCTCCCCCAGAATCCTTTCTCCACCCAGAGCAACAAGAGTCACGAGCTGAAAATGTAAATCTAAACTGACATTGTATCTGTGACACTGCAAGCCCTGGCCCATGTGCCATGTCTGACCACTAGGTTTTTTTTTAAGATTTTTTTTTTTTTAAATGTGGAGCAGGTGGCAAAGAACCCACTTGCCAATGCAGGAGATATAAGAGATATGGGTTCAATCTCTGGGTCAGGAAGATCCCCTGGAGGAGGGCATGGCAACCCACTCCAGTAATCTTGCCTGGAGAACCCCATGAACAGAGGAACCTGGAGGGCTTACAGTCCATAGTGTCACAAAGAGTCTGACGTGACAGAATCAACTTAGCAGAGCGCACAGCACATGTTAAAGTCTTTATTGAATTTGTTACAATATCGCTTCTGTTTTATGATCTGGAGGCATGTGGGACCTTAACTCCCCCACCAGGGATTGAACCCGCATCCCCTGCATGGGAAGGTGAAGTCCTAACCACTGGACCACCAGAGAAGTCTCTCCCCTTGCCATCTGGTGATGCCATTCCTCCTGCTTCCTCAAAGACTCATCTCTCCTCCCACGGAAAGGGGTCTGTCTCCTGAGAGGTCTTCCCTGACCACTCTCTCATCCACTTGCCACCCTGTGCACACCTCAGTATTTTCCATCTCTGACCTTTGTTTCCTTCAGGGCACTTCACACATTTTATAATTCATTTATTTGTGTTTGTTTAGTTCGCAACTGTTCCCCTCTCCAACCCCAACATCAAAACATAAGTCATGTGAGAACAGAGACATTCAGATGTCTGGTTCACCAAAGTGTCCCCATATCCAGTGGAGTAGCACAGAGCAGGTGCTCAGGAAATACTCACTGAATGAAAGAAGGTAGGCTGCCTGTTCTAGGTCCTATGACCCAGAGGGACAGGTCTCAAGTTGGGTTCTGTCTACCAAGAGTTTATTGCCCTTGGCCTCTAGGCTACAGTCCCCTCGCATTCCTTCCTTCTTTTTTTCTAGTATTTGGCTGCACCAGGTCTTACTTGCAGCACACGGGATCTTTAGTTGCAAACTCTTGGTTGCGGTACGTGGGATCTGGTTCTCTGACCAGGGATCGAACCTGGTCCCCCTGCATTGGGAGTGCAGACTGTTAGCAACTGGACCACCAGGGAAGTCCCCACATTCCTTTCTTCTTGGGCCCAGATCATCCTCCTCTTTTCACTTCTTTTCCCCTCTTTCCGTTTTCTCCCTCCCCTCCTAAGGGACCCATTCCCCAGTGCAATATGGAGAAGCCCTTTCTGCTATGGGATCTCAGATGTTGATGGGGAATTCTGTGACAAGTGCTACCAATGAGGCAGCCGGTGGTCAGACAGCCCAGCTCTGAGCACTGTCCCAGCTGGACACTGGCAGTCAAACATCAGCATGTCCAACAATGGAAGCCAGGTGATGGGACCGAGGCCACATACACATTTCCTTACCCCCAGGTGCCTGTGCCCTGGCTCAGATCTCTGGATAGTGGGTACTGTGCTCAAAGAAGAACAAAATACCCCTTTAAGCCAAGAGTCACCCTTGCACTTTCTGCCTCTGTAGCATGCCAGCCACTTGAGGCAAGGCTGGGGTCTCCAATGGTCTAAGTAGACTCTGGGGCACTAGGAACCCGAGTCCTCAGGCAGGCGGGCAAGTCCCAGACTCCAACCTGCCTGCAGCTCCAAAGCAAGCTCTACACATGAGGAGAAGAACCCTAGGGACTCAATAAGAGCCGTACAGCTGGTCTGCTAGTAAGGGCAGGGGCATTCAGGGAGCACAGCAGCTGAGAACACTGGTGGTGGGGTGGGATGAGGGTTGGCAAGTCAAAAGACCCAGGGGCAAAATCCCACCAACCTGGCCCATGGGGACTCTCTTACCTAGCCTTCCCAGCAGCATCTGGGCCGCATCCTTGATGTCATTATACTCGTGGAGCTGGGAGATGTGGTCCTCCAGTTCATCTACACTGTAGCCTCTGGGGTGGGAAATGGGGGGAGGGAGAGAGAGAATCGCTAAGAAAGCTGATAAGGCTTCCAGCTGCAGAGGTAATAAGGCCCTTACTCACTAAGGGCCGACTGGGTGCTCAGCACTGGGAACACAGCAATGCCGAGACAGACCCTGCCCTTGTGAAGCTTAAGGTAGGGCAGGGGATCTGCCCACTGTCTTACTCCTGGTAAATTCTCCCTGTATCCTTAGGGAGGGGTCTCCAGGCACACTGGTATTATGTAACCCTGGTCACAGCTGAGGGATTCACAGATGGGCACATGAGTGGTTAGTCAAATCCCCTCAAGCATGGCACGGGTATTCAAAGGTTCCTCGGTCTGTGGCTACAGCAAGGAGCATGGGAAAACGCAGAAGGTATGGAAGAGCCAGCGTCCCCTTGGCACTGAAAACCCACCTTCAGAGGAGAGGCAGAGCCCACGTGTGGACAGAAGCAGAGGCAGAGACCATGGGTTCCAGACAGAGAGTGGGAGAGCCATAGCTTTTCAGCTCCCAGTTCCCCTAGTCCTCCCGAGCCTGACCACACCTTACCTGAGACAGCTGTTGAGGCTGCTGGATGCCAATGGCACAGTCCTGTTTTTATGCTAAGCTAGGTTTCAGTTACCATTGCTGTTGTTCAGTGGCTAAGTCCTGTCAGACTCTTTGAGACCGCATGGACTGCAGCACGCCAGGCTTCCCTGTCCTTCACCATCTCCCTGAGTTTGCTCAGACTTATGTCCATATTGAGTCAGTGATGCTATCTAATCATCTCATCCTCTGCCACCCACTTCCCATCAGGAAGCTTGCGCAAGCCTCTTATCCTCATCCATGAGTTACTGGGCACTAGTTAAAAGTTTTCTAGAGCTTCTCTGGTGGTCCAGTGATTAGGACTCAGTGCTTTCACTGCTATAGCCTGGGTTTAATCCCTGGTTGGGGAACTAAGATCCCACAAGCCACATGGTGTGACCCCCGCCCACACCAAAAAAAAAAAAAAAAAAGTTATTCTAAGCACACTGAAGAACCCAACGAGACTTACTCTGATAATAATTGGGTGATCTCCTTGTCCAACATGTCGTTCTTCTCCTTGAGTTTCTGAATGTCAAGGTGTAGAGACTCCTCGCTGACCCTGTCAGCCTGGCCAGGTTTGGGAGATGGCCGCTGAGTGGCACAAAAAGTCACAAGCCAGATTGACCAATTATCTACAATTGAGAACCTTCACATTGTCCCCCCAAAAGCCACTCCCTGCTTCAGGGTGGTAACAGACAACCTCCACCCAGAATAAGACTACATTTCCCAGCTTCCCTTGGAATTAGATGTGGTCCTATAACTAAGTTCTGGCAAGTGCAACTTAATCAGAAATAGATTCTATGTCCGGGAACTGTCCTTCCGGGGAGAGGGTACACCTTTATATGGCCCTCTTCCTTCCTGTCAATGGAGGGACAATGGAGTTGAACAGTGTCTTAGATGATAGAGGCATGGGTCCCCGATGACTGTTTCAGCCACCATTATTCAGGGTTTCCTTTCACTTTCAGCTAAACCCAACTTTAACTAAAGGGCCCATCCTGGTTCCCAATCTGACCATAGAGAATCCACTTCAGGTCTACCTCTTGGATGCTCCTCTCCAATCTATGATTATAACCTCACTGGGGGATTTCCCTGGTAGGCCAGTGGCTAAGACTCCATGCTCCCAACACAGGGAACCCAGGTTTGACCCCTGGTCATGGAATTAGAAGCTACATGCTGCAACTAAGACGTGGTACAGCCAAATAAATAAACAAATATTCAAAAGAAAATCTAATTGGGTAACAAAACGCTTCCTTGGGGCTACAGTTCATCTTTGTCCTTTCTGCGTCTAAAAGCTGTGAAGGCAGTGCCTGATATGCTGCTAATCATCAAGAAATGTTGGTTGGAGCCACACTGGGGTTTTTAACCAGTCAACAAATCATGAGTAAGTGCTAGCTGCCAGGCACTGCCAAAGACTGCAGGGGTTTAGCAATGGATAAGACGTTAAGCCCGGCCCCCTGACTTCATGGAACATAGAGCCTAGTCCCAGACATACAACACTCAACAATGACGCTCTTCCTCCAGATATTTCCATGGAAAGCTGGGCTCACCAGTCACACTTCATCAGAAAAACCTTCCCTGACCACCCTATCTAACTGGCCACTCCTCACACACTACCCCTAGTCCTGATGTTTTCTAACATCTATCACCACCTGACACATTGTACATTTCATTAATAATATTATTTTCACTGATGGACTTATACCACTGGATGGTGAACACCATGAGGGCAGGGACTCTTGTTTTTTCACAGCTGATGGCCCTGTGTCTACAATAGGACCTGGCACATAAGTAAGTCGCTTCAGTCATGTCAGACTCTGTGACCCCATGGACTGTAGCGCGCCAGGCTCCTCTGTCCATGGGATTCTCCAGGCAAGAATACTAGTGGGAAAAAAAAAAAATACTGGAGTGGGTAGCAATTCCCTTCTCCAGGGGACCTTCCCAACCCAGGAATTGAACCTGGGTCTCCTGCATTGGAAGCGGATTCCTTACCATCTAAGCCATCAGGGAAGCCGGGACCTGGCACATAGAAAGCACTATTTCAAATGAATTCATCAAATGAATGAATGAAGGAAAAACAACCAATCAACTAACTAGCAGTCTGGAAAGTGTTTTGAAGTACGGTGTGCTAAGGGGGCACCTAACAGAGCAAGTGGCCTGAGCCTGAAGTGGAGCTGAGACTCCTCTGAGGAAGCTCAACTTTAAAGGTTGAGGAGGCATCAGTTTGGCAAAAAGCTGGAAAAAAGTATTCCACACAAGGGACAGCATATGCAAGTACTGTAGGGGCAGGAGAGAGCACCTGTGTTTGAGGGAATGAGAATGGTTTCCACGTGGGTGGAATGGGTGAGGGAAGGAGGGTGGTGTGAAAAGAACAAAACCGACCAACCACTTGTGGCGATGTCAGGGAGGAGGAGAGACAGAGCCCCTTTGTAGGGTCTGGGGTAACAGTGACAAAGGACAGGAACGCTGTTTCTTCTCTGATGCCTGGAGGGCAGGAGGAAAAGATGATGGGGAAGGGCTGAGAAATGACCTGGAGTTTCTCTGCGGAATAAGGTCAGCTGGGGGGGTGGGTCAGCCGCTGTTAGGGAAGGAGGGTAGGGCTGGGAGCAGCGTACAGGGTGGAGGGCAGGGAGGGGGCACAGGTATACTCACAGGGGATCGGAAGGCCCCGCCGCAACTTTTGGAAAGTCCTGGTTGAATCCTGGAGAGGAAGCCGAAGGAAAAAGTCTGATTGGACCTAGAGGCCGCCTGGGGAGGAAGGGGGTACTGTGGGGGTATGGAGAGGAGGAACAGTTATGAACCGGGACTGGATCCGGTTGGGAAGGGGACAGAGAATGGTTCTGGGATCAGGGGAGGGATCTCGAAAAAGGGGAGTTTCTGACAGGGAGGAGTGGATGGTGGGGCGGGGGGCGCGTCTCTGGAGGTGATCTCTGAGGAGAGAGTCTGAGGCAGAGCTACAGGGGCGTCACGAAAACGGACTGGGAAGAGATGTGCTTTCCCCCTGCTGTCAGCTCCTCGCCCACCTCCTCAGCCCTGGCGTCCGGGGCCCCCGACTGGCGGGGCACTGCAGAGAAGGAGGGTCCAGGGCGAGGACGGAAAAGAATCTCCTCAGGTCTGCCAGGTACTTGGAATCCTGTGACGGAGACTAGGAACGTCACAAAGCGTAGCTGCTCGCGAACCCCGCGAGAGACGGCTCAGTCCTCTCCGCCGAGGTGGGCAGGACAGAGGTCGCTTACTCTGCGGCTGCGCGTTCAGCGTTTTTTGTGACTCCACCCTCTCTTTCGGGCTAGGCGGCGGCTTTAGCCGTGCGTCTCCGCCCTGTATTTTTCCCATTAACCAATGGTGTTAGACTAATACCGCCCCGGTACCGCCTTCTCTTGGCTGAGTGGCACCGCAGCGCGGTGGCTGCCGGAAGCGATTCCGCAGAGGTTGACGGGATCGTGGTGATGTGGCCCCCCCTTCCCCCGCCCCTTCTCGGGATGTCGGAAGAAACCCGACAGAGAAAATTGGCTGCGGCCAAGAAAAAGGTAAAAACGTGCGGGCTCGCGGCTCCCTGACCCCTCCGAAGGCCGGGCCATGGCCAGAGTTGCTGTGCTGCCTCTGAGGCACACGGGGCGAGCCCCTCGGCGCCCCTTGGCGCCCTCCCCAACAAAGTCTTTGCAGCCAGTCCCCCTTACACTTTCAACGCGGAGCGGCGACTCGGGCGTTGCTAGGGATGAGTGCCATGTGGCTACGTCATAATGCCCCTCGGAACTGTAGTTAATGCCGAGAAAAGTCGGTGTTAAATTTTACCACCCAGTTCCTACTGTGTTTTCACAACCTTTCCGGTCCTTCTGGGTCGTGGCACCAGCTTGAAAAAGGGGACTCGGGGGGCTGTGGGACCTAGGTCGGACCTGGGTTTCAGGTTTCCTCACTTCTAGACTTGTACCCCCATCGTTTGATGCTGATAGTGTAAAAAGCCTACACTTGCCACAGTGATCTCCAAACATTGACAGTATCTCTGGGTGGCCATGGGAAGAAGGTGTTTGGATTTCTCCCAGGTCTCTATCCAGAGAGACTTCCACATTTTTAATCGAAGTTTCTACTTCACATTCTAATTCCTTCTGTTTCTGAGACCAGAGGGCCCGTCACTCAGCATTCAGTGCTCCTCTGAGGAACAAATCCAGGGAAACTAAACTTCACAACTGGGAATCTTTCACAAATCATCACCTCAATGTGGGGCGGCCCAAGTGCCACAGGATAAATACGGGACTGATGGATCAGTTTTGCTTGGTTTTCTTGAGAGAGAAAAAACCTTTTATATTAATATACTTAGGGATGACATTTGCATAGATTTGAATGATTATAATGGACTTCTCTCTGAAATGTGTTTGGGTTGTCCTCTTTCTGTTATGTTCCCAGATTCACTAGGGGTGTGTGTCTTCTCTGCCTTCTGCCATTAGGATACATTGATGTAAAATTTTGAGAACTGCTGGTGTGCAGCTCTAATAGAGATGGAAGAAGGGACCCTGATGTCTGATTAAATGTTTACTTTTCCTGTTCTGCTGATTTTGCCCCCTAGCAGCTGCTGATTGATGTTGTAATCCCAGAACTCAGTCAGAAGGCTGGGTTTAAATTCCGTTGTTGCCTTTTATTCCCGCCTTTTGCTCCTAACCATGTTATGAGTCCATTTCAAATCATTGAGGACAACAGCTCTTGTAGGGTTGTTGTGGCATTAAATCAGAAGGCGAAGAGTATTTTGTAAACTTTGTAAAGTAGCTTGTGGATTCAGGGGTGCGTGTAGTTCTCATGAGCCTCACTGCTTTTCCTTTTTACAGTTACGGGAGTATCAGCAGAAGAACAGCCCTGGTGTTCCTGCAGGAGCTAAGAAAAAAAGAAAGATCAAGAATGGCAGTAGCCCTGAGACAACCGCTTCTGGTGATTGTCCGTCGCCTGAAGATGTGAGTCTTGCCTGGCCGCTTTCTGAGGATGAGGCTACTTAAGGGGCAACAGTAGAGGGTAGTGGTTAAGATTGTGGAAGAAATGTCAGATATTGGCTAAGAAGTTTGGGTTTGAATTCTCCTTCTCCCTCTGGGGGGGATATGGTTTTGGGCAAGTTGTTTAAGCTCGTTGGATCTCTGTTTCCACATTAGTAAAATTGGGGTAATACTGTCTTACACCAAGGAAGTTGAAATGAGATTGTCGTCATTTTTATAATAATCCCTTAAAACAGGGCCTGGTGCAGGGTAAACTTTCAATAAAGCATAGTTGCTAGTTGACTTACTGCTCTGGTGATCTTCCCCAGCCTCATGGAGAAAGCCAGGCAGTGAAAACAGCCTCTTGCCCTCAGACTTTCCATTTAGAGGCCCCAGTAGAGCCCCAGAGTGTGGTGAGGAGAGGGCCTCAGGCACTTGGATTAGGAGACCATCTGAGTTTTAAGACCATCTTTGCCACCAGCTTGCTGGTGATTGACCCTGGGACAATCACTTCCTCCCCTGGGCCTCAGTTTCCTCATCTGTAAAATGATACTGGTGGATCAGATTATTGTCTTTCAAGCTTATTTTTTAGCTGTAGCCCCTCTCCCCCCACTTTGTTCAAGTGGACCCTTTTTCTGAAGTCTAGTTTTTAAAAGTCTAGGCCTGAGGGTCCAAGAAGCTGTTAAGAACTGCATTGTTCATCTGAGGAGCTATGTGACTGCATTGTTCAGGGGACTTTTCCATCTATTTGTTTTGCTTGATTTCTGCCTTTCGCAAGGCAGCAAGTGGCTACTTGGAAAACTGACCTAGGCCGTGGTATTGATCCCTTTGACCCTTTTCTCTCTTCTCTGGCGTTCCATTGCCCCCATGTCTTCTTCTTTCCTGACTCTCTTGCCTCTCTAAGCCACTTTTCTCTTTCCCCCCTTGTTTTTCCCTTGTCGCCTCCTGTAGATTCAGGACATTCTGGAGGTGCTGGTGTCCGACCTTAACCGCTCCAATGGGGTAGCGCTCCCCCCATTGGACAAGTGGAAGGTGAGGCAGTGCCACGACCCCCTCTCTGGCTTGCTCCCTCCCAGCTCTGCATGCCCTGAGGCGTCTTTGTTGTGGGGGAGACTTTGTCTCTGGCTTATTTTATGTTGCTGTCATTAACCCTCGGCCTGTTAATGTCTGCTTTTTCACCTGCTTGGTTGATTGGGTTCTTCCCCTTGCCTCCCCCCCCCCCCCCCCTGCCCCCCCACCATCTTTTATCATCTTGGAGAAGGTGGGATGCTCCTTGGAGGTTAAAGGTAACTTGGGAATAGTTTCTGGAGCAGGTGTGTGGGATTAGGGCTCTTTGAGCCTCCAGTTTGAACGCCTGGTGGTAGTCTCAGACTAGGAAAGGTTAAATAAAACCAAACCTTCAAGTCTTGCCCCCTGGGCATCTATTCCCAAAAGACCAGTAGACCACTAAGCAGTTTGTGATTTTTTTTTTTTTTTTTTTTTAGTTCATCGGTTCCTTTTGGTTTGGCAGTAGGGAATTTGGGTTAAGAGAAAAGGAGCTTTAGTTACAAGGATTGAGGTTATTTTTTTCAATGGAACTCACTGTAAGGGATGTGAGGTTCACCAAACACATGAGTGATCAGGACATTCTGCCCCTGTTCTCTCTTAAAAATCCACTGGACACAACTGTATTCAGTGGGCCATTGAGAGCAGACAGCTGGTGCTAGGTGCTGGAGAAAACAGGTGAAAGAAGCAGGCTAGGATGTGGCAGCATTCCAAATGCTCAACTGAGGTGGAGGTTCGTTCTAAATGGATTCTGGGCTGGAGAGGGTGGCATTTGAAGTTGGTTTGAGGATTTGAAGTGGGGAGCATTCATCCATATTGTGAGTAGGGGACCCAGGCAGAGGGTGTGGTCACAGGTAACCACCAGGACTATGAGCTCACAGAGTACTTTCCAGAAAGAAGGGGAGCCTGGGATGCACCTGGACTAGGAGATGACCTCCTCTGGACATGATGTTGGCACTTCCTCCTTAATTAACTTCCTTGGGGAACATCTCCCAGGCCAGAGGAGTACAACTGGAAGGAGGCCAGGTCCTGCTGGAGATGGGCAGGGGGAGAGGGGTGGGGCCAGGGCCCTGGTGGCTGGGGTCAGAGAGTCTTCAATCATCAGGACTGCTCACGCCCAGTCACTCAGGTCTGTTCAGGTGCTGTGACTCACCCTGTTGGCTCTCAGAGGAGACGCTGGGTGGCCTGGGGAGGGAACGTGGGCCTTCAGGAGTCCCAAAGCCCTGGCCCGCATCCGTCTGCTCTCCTGGAAATGAAGACCCATAACCCCATGTTCCCTTCTTGTTTTATTTATTTATTATACTTTTTTTTTGCTGCACTGCACAGCTTGTGGGATCTTAGTTCCCCAACCAGGGATTATTTAACCCATGTCCTTTGCATTGGAAGCATGGAGTCTTAACCACTGGACCACCAGGGAAGTTTCATTTCTTGTTGTTTTAAAATCCTCTCTATATCAATCCTTGTTTCCCTCTTAAGTTTTCTATTCTAGTTAAAAAAAAAGACTAGGCCTGTGATTACCGTATCCTAGGCATAGCTGATGACATTTTCAGAAATGAGGAATGATGGATAAAAAAAAAAATTTTTTTTCTTTTTTAATGGAATGGAACATTTGAGGGGAGTAGACAATGTTTTTTGAAATTCCATACTTAGTTTTATGATTCAAAATTATGAAATAACTTGGTGGTTCACTAAATTGTCATATTCTGTGTATTTCAGTCTTCAGACAAGTCCTTTTTTCTCCTTCTTAGCTCTCTTGTTTCTAATGCTAGGGATCCCTGGGCACCAAGATGCCAGGAGGGACTCAGGGCTCCCCAGGGCCCATGGATAAGAGTGTGCTCCCCTCCCCCAAAGTCTCATGCCTCTCCAGCTGCCGAACTCTTACTATTCTTACCTATTAGATTCAGGAATACAGGTTGGCAAGGCAATACCAGGTTCTGGGGTCAGAGGTCGCAGTGTGGACAGTTGCCATGCCGACAGTTTGATTCATCTTCAGCTCCCCAGGGTCTGTGGCGCTTGCTGTAAGGAGGGCAGTAGATTTGAGTTTTCAGAGGCCAGGGCTGCGGCGTCCAGAGAGCAGGCTGCCTTTTCCCTCAAGAGAGGTGCAGCCTTTCCCTTCCAGATCCACCTTGGCTGGCCAGGCCTTGGCTGCCTGGCGCTCTTCGCTGGTCAAGCTTCAGCTGGTCAGTCCTCTTCAGTCTCACCTATTGAACTCACCTTCTGAACTCACCTTCTGGAACCAGCGGCTTGGACTCAATGTCAGTCAGGACTGAGCCTGGAGAGAGGCCGAGTGGGGCTCTGGTCAAGCAGGTTGATCCACCTGGGTGGGGGAAGAGGGAACTTCTCTGTGGCCCCTGGTCCTCAAACCCACAATTCTTCTCCAGGAGGCCAAGAGTAGATGTCTTCTCTCTGGTTTCTCAGCTGTTCTTGGTTGGGTAGGTGTTTAGGAGCTAGGAGCTTGGGGTGGGGTAGTCGCCATAGTTTTCTTTCTACCTCCAGGGGCAGGAGGAGCCTTCTTGTTTGGCGGCTTCTTTCCCAAAAAAGGCATGACTCAAGGACACACCCAGTGGTTGGGAGGAGGGAAGGAAGGGAGAGCAAGAAGGAGGAGGCAGATGCCCTCTTCCTTTATCACTGCTGTGTTCTGCCCAGCAGGGTCCTGGGGGAGGGTCACTCTGGCACAGACTGACCCTCTGGAGCAGTAGTGCCTGCTTCTCTCTGACCCGGCACACCTTCCTCTTACCTGCTGTGGCTGCCGCAGGGCAGCCTGGCCCTGCCTCTGGCTGAGCTCTGAAGAGGATGACGCTCCATGTTCAGGAAGCCCGCCTCATGGCCCTCGCCCTGAGCCTCAGTCCAGAAGGTGGCAGAATGGCCCGAGTTCTGGGCGAGCCGTAGCCACACCCCAGCGAGGCTCCCAGCACGTGTCACTGTCGCTGACTGCGCAACACCGGTCCTGCCCGCGCTGCACCCCTGCGCTCGTGACAGCGAGGCGCTCTTTGCCCTGCATGGCCCCCTAACCCCCTGCTCTGTTCTGTGACAGGCGCCCAAAGACTGCGCCGCTCCCGTTACACCGTCTGCTGATGACACCGTGTCACCTGGCAATGTCCCTTCCCCCAGTGCTAGTCCCCCCCGTGTCACTAGCATGGCATCAATTCAGGTTTGTGCCTCTTCTCCCTTGGCCGCTCTGTGTTCGCCCCCCTCCTCTTTCCCGGAGGACTGGACCTCCTGTGGACCCTCATCCTCTTTTTCCAGGTAGCTTGGCTCTGTGAGCCAGGTGCCCTTCCTGAGGACTGGGATTGGGGAGCCCCAAACCAGACTCCCTTTAAGCTTCAGGGAGATGGAAAGTGGTTGGAATGAGCTTGGTGCCTGTGGGTGGTTCTTACTAAAAATTGAATGACCAATTCCTGTGTTTCTTCCCAAACAGAACCATGATGCCGACAACAGTTCTGGTCTCATTGACGAAAGCACGTGAGTGTCTCCCACGGGGGCAGCAGTCCCTAAGCCACTGCCCCGTGACCCCCTCTTTCCCGTTGAGCCTCCTGCACCCCTGACTGCTGTGTTCATCCCCAGATCCTTTACATCTACTGAGAGCCTGCGACAGCTGTCTCAGCAGCTCAACGGCCTTGTGTCCGAGGTACCCCCCAAACTGGAGCTCAGCATGGGTTAGAGTAGGAGGGAAAATATGATAGAAAGAAACTGAGGCAGAGACTCCCCAAAGGCAGGGAAGATCCTGGGACCGGGCAGCTTGGCTGGATAATGTTTAGCTGACCATTGCTTCTCTGAGTCTCCTCTTTGAAGCTGTGCAAATGAAGGGGTTGGACGATGAGACTGGTTACATCGTTTGATCCTGCAGATGAGAGCTCTTTGAGAGGGGAGGGACAAGGGGGAGCTAAGAACCAGGAGAAACTGGCACAGGGAGGGATTAAGGGGCAGGAGGCAAGTTAGGCAGAAGAGGAAATGTTGCCAGTTGATGGGGAAGGCAAGATGCTGGAGGGGGTCGGAGAACATCTCCATGTGAGCTCTTCGTCTCTCCTAGTCTTCGTCTTACATCAATGGGGAGGGCCTAGCATCTCCTGCTAACATAAAGAATCTGGAGGTAAGTGGGCCTGCACCGTGGCCCAGTGACCCTGCAGGCCAGCCCTGCCCTCCACCTCCTCCCATGGCGGGGGCTGGGTGCCCCACCCAGCTGAGACAGCCCAGACACCCCCCAACCCTAATGATTGCTCTCTCTACCTCTCCCCCACCCCTCCTCCACCTCCTCCTCCTCCTCTCTGCATGCGCCTCAGAGCCGGTACCAAGAACTATCAGTAGCCCTGGACTCCAGCAATCTAACAAACAAACAACTCAGTAGCAAGATAGAGGAATTGGTAAGAGTCCGGTGTTGTCCCCTGATCCATGCTGCCAGTGTGGGGCTCCGGTCTCACCTTGGAGCTCTTGAAGAAAGGGGCTGGGGATCCCTGGTGCCAAGGGAGAAGAGGGTGCTGGGGGGCCTAGGTCTCAGCTGGAGGGACCCCTAAGCATGGCATGCAGCATGGCTCTCTCTGTGGCTGCCCTCTTTGCCTACTCTGTTCTCCAGACACCTCTGCTCGAGTCCTCCCCACCTTGCCATGGGTCTGTTGCCTGTAGGGGAGGCACTAGCTTGACTGGTGTGTTCCAGCCCTGACCCGGCCCCTGATTTGTTCCAACTTTGACCTTGGACAAGTCACCTCTCCTCCTTGGCCTTTAGTTTCCTGAGGAGATAGAATCAGAGGGTGTCCAAGGTCCCTTTTAAGCTCAAAAAAAGGTTTCAAGGTCCTTTTCATTCATGTCATATCTGTGTTAAGAACAGAACCTGGCCTGTGGTGTGTTTGCTCAGCAAACACACTTTGAGTGCGAGCTGGCAGAGGGTGGTCTTCACCTTCTCAGACTCCATTTCTAGAGGTTTATATCATTGTCCCTTCAAGGGAATTAGATCCAGATTCTCGCTGCTGTAGCCATGAGCAAAACCTCCCAAGACTCAAAGTCTTGGCTTGAGAAGCATTCGTTCATTCGTGTCCCTGTGAGCCCTCCCTTTCTAACCCCTTCCTGGTCCCTGCGTGTGGCCCCTCCTCCTTGGTCTGAGGATCGTGGGGAAGGACAACCTCAGTCACCTTCCTTTGCCTCTCCCCACAGAAACAAGAGAACCAGGAAACTTTGGATCAACTGGAAAAAGTAATGCGATTTCTTTGTTTCTTCCATGGCTGATGGGGCTTCCCTGGTGGCTCAGTGGTAAAGAATCCACCTGCCAATGCAGGAGATGAGGATTCAATCCCTGGGTCAGGAAGATCCCCTGGAGAAGGAGGTGGCAACCCACTCCAGTGTTCTTGCCTGGGAAATCCCATGGACAAAGGAAGCCTGGCGGGCTACAGTCCATGGGATCGCAAGAGAGTCAGACACGACTTAGCGACTAAACAACCCATGGCTGATGGGTTTGGGGGAGGATTCAGAAGTAGAGGACCATTCTCCTCTTGGCTGCTCACAGCCTGGAGGAATGGGGGCTTCCCCCTTGCCCTCCTCTCCCGTCTTCCATTCCCGGGGTGCCGATTATCTGTTCTCATTGGTGGGCCTGTCCTGGACCTATGGTGGCATCCCCAGGCAGGGCACATGTCCTTTTCTTTCACTTTTGCCTCCTCCCAGTAAGACTTGTTTCTTCTCTGTTTCTGCAGGAAAAGAAGGAATTTGAGCAGAAGCTAGCAAAGGAACAAGGGGCTCTGAGAGAACAACTGCAGGTGAGCGGGCTCTTCCAGGGTCCCTTGTGGCCCCCAGGAAACATTGCTTTTCCACATTCTCAGCACTCATTTGGCCTTTCTCCCAAAGGTCCACATTCAGACTATCGGGATTCTGGTGTCAGAGAAGACGGAGTTACAGACAGCTCTGGCTCACACCCAGCAGGCAGCCAGGCAGAAAGCAGGTGGGAATCTAGGCACCCTTTTACCCCTGGACCGGCTAGGCCTTTGGTGGGATTCCTTCTCTGGACTTCCCCTCTCTGCTGTCCTTTCAGGGGAGTCAGAGGATCTTGCTAACCGCCTGCAGTCTTCCAGGCAGCGTGTGGGAGAGCTGGAGCGGACGCTGTCTGCCGTCTCCACACAGCAGAAACAGGCCGACAGGGTGAGCCCAGCAGCCTGCCCATCCCCTGGAGGTCATGTGGAAGGGTCGTGAGCCTAAAGGTCTCTGCGGCAAGATGGAGTGACTTGCTGCCCAGACAGCAGCACTGGCCATTTCTTGCTTTAGAGTTGTGTGGTTGTGAAACGCAACCTGGACACGAGTTGGTTGCCCTGGGCAAGTTGGGGGGAGGGGTGGGGAAGTGCTACCTAGAGCGAGCACTGGATGAGCCCAAAGCCTGAGTGCCAGCCAGTCCTGCCTTTAACTGAACATGGGCTCTGGCTCAGGTGCTGGGTGTTCGGGCTGTGAAGGTTCAGATCAGTATTTTTAGTCCGTGGCCACACTAAAAAGGGAGAAGTACATGTGTGTAATACATATGACATGTCGGAAAGGACTTACATAAAACCCAAGGAAGGGACTTACCTGGTGGCCCAGAGGCTGACACTGTACTCCCAGTGCAGGGGGGACTAGCTCCCACATGCTACAACTAAGACCCAGCGCAGCTAAATAAATAAATATTAAAAAAAAAAAAAGCCCAAGGGAGAGGAATAGGGTGGCTTACCTGTCACTTTTGTACCTTCTGAGTTTGGGGCTGTGTGAGTGTCCCATCTATTCAAAAAATGAACAAAAGATTGCAATGCAATTTAATCCATCCCTCGTATCCATGCCCCAACCCCAGGGCAGAAAACAAGGTCAAAGAATCCCAGGTCTAAGTGATTTTAGGTGAGCTCCTTAACCTCTAATATTCCACATTCACCGATAAAATGGAGATAGTAGCTGCCTCCCACGGTGATTGTGAGTTGGAAATGGGAATGTTGGCTAAGAAAGTGTTCAGAAGAGGTTCAGAGGTGATGCTGCTAACAGTGAGAACGGTGGCCAGCCCAGAGTCAGACCGCCCCACCTGCCTCTTCCAACCTTTCCGAGTTCTTACTAAAACCAAAGGAGAGCATGAGCTTGGATGTACTTTGAAAAAATGTAAAGCCTCACACCAGGTGAGGATGTGTTGCTGGGAGTTGTTCTGTTGCTGCTGTTGGTCTGCATTTTCTGCCTGCCTTCTCCTGACCTCGCCTTTCTGTGTTCGCAGTACAACAAAGAATTAACCAGAGAGCGAGATGCCCTCAAGCTGGAATTATACAAGAACAAGTAGGATGGGGGGTAATGGGGGGGCGCTGGGAAGTGGGGGAGATCCAAGGGAATCGGGTGAGAAAGGGTACACGTTTGGACGTGTGCAGAGTCAGGCTCTCGGTCAGCATGCCCCTGACCCCTGCCATGGCCTCAGGCAGCTCGTGTCTTCTCTCTGGGCTGCCACTTGAGACTTCTGGTGCTGGGGTCCCTTCCAAAGCGACTTCTCTGGCAGGAGTCATGGGTGGATCATGGGAGCGTCCCTCTGTTCAGTACTCATGCCTCCCTCCGTCGCCTCTGGCCATAGTAAGAGCAACGAGGACCTGAAGCAGCAAAACTCAGAGCTGGAGGAGAAGCTGCGGCTCCTGGTGATAGAGAAGTCAGCCATGCAGCTGGGCATGGAGGAGCTGCAGAAGAAGCTGGAGATGTCGGAGCTGCTGCTGCAGCAGGTGGGGCTGAAGCCCTGGGGTGTGCGGGTCCCACCTGGCAGAGCCAGGGCCTCTCAGGGTCATTGTGGTGCCCTCTGACCAGGAACCAGAAAGTTTGGATCCTTGTTCTGGCTCTGCCATAGACTTCTCTAGAGACAGGAGCAAAAGTGGGACCTTGCCCAGATCTCTGGAATCAGAAGCTCAGGGATACGGCTTATTTATTTTTATATATTTTTTTAAAGCATCCTAGTTGAAAACTGTTGTTTTATGGATGACATTGGGTTGGCCAAAAAGGTCCTTCGAGTTTTTCCATAGCATTGCAAGGAAAAACCTGAACAAAGTTTTTGACCAAACCAATAGTTGTAAGGCCAGCCCATGAGTTTCTGCTTCCTTCCTCTCGGATGCCAAGCCTCCAGGTAGACCAGAGTGCCCAGGTCAGTTTCCTCTTCATTGTTTCGGCATGCCCAGCAAGTTTCTGCCTTCCTGCCATCTGTAAGGGTATGGTTAAAGTATGCCATGCTCATATATTGGAGTACTATGTAACCATTATAAAAACTAAGTTATCTTGTTTGTGGCAAAGTGAAATTAAGTTGCAGAACCATATATGATACTATACCTGGTAACTGCACTGTGAAGCATGAAGCATGTTTGCATACCTGTGGAAAAGGATCAAGAAGGATACACACTGGATTGGGGACGTTGGGAGAACTTTGAACACTTACTATCAGAATTGTTCACACTGAGTATTTAGTGAAAATAAAGCTTGTAGACACAGTACTAACAATATTAAGGATAACCCTGAGTTGTATGTTGACCTTTTGGGGGTGGGCATTGTGTGGAATAGCCTGGGCCCCCCAGATCTAACCTTGTTTTCCACCATCCAGTTTTCTAGTCAACCTGCCTCTGATAGCAGCCAGCAGTTACAGCAGGCCCTGGAGGAGAGGGCACAGCTGGAGACCCATGTGGAGCAGGTGAGGCTTTGCAGAGGGAGGGGTATGGGAGACCCCAGGTGATCAGGAGCAGGTGAGGGCCCCCCTGTGATAGCCCCTGCTAACTTCTGCGCCCCGTTCACAGCTGAAGGATTCGCTGAAGCAGCTGCAGGCAGAGAGAGACCAGTATGTGATGAATCTGAAGGAGGAGAATGCCATATGGCAGCAGAAGATGCAACAGGTGTTGCAACAGGTGAGGTGTGACCTTCGATTCCCCCCCTGCCCCGCCCCTCCACCTTGGATAGGTCAGTTGGTCTTCCTGGGCATCATGTCATTTTCTCTGCATAGCTGGAGGTGGATGTGTGTATCTGGAGGTGGGGGTACAGTCACCTAGCTCTCCCTTGACCTCTCCCTCCATGTGCACCCCGCCCCCTCCCCCATCTCGGTGCTTTGAGCAGATGAGCAAGTTGAAGGAAGAAAAGGAGCGCAGTGTGAGTCAGGCTCAGGAGCTAGAGACCAGCTTGGCCGAACTGAGGAACCAGATTGGTGAGCTGGGCCCCAGGGACCTGGGGATGAAGGTTGGTGTTGGGGCTGGTGAGAGCTGCCAAGATTGCAGGTGGGTGGGTGGAAGGGCATTATGGCCCAGGGAAAGAGGTCCATACCAGGAGTTGGCAAGGCTTGCAATTCTCAGTGTCCCAAACTAAAAAGAAGAAAGGGGTGAAGTGTGCCCACTGGGTCTGAAGCATAAAGAGCTCTGAACGTGTCTTGAAAGATTGAGCCAGGAAGCCAAGATTGGGGGTAAGGAGGCCGAGTTAGGAGCCGTGGACCCCGAAGAGGGTGCTTTGGACACAGTCCAGCCAAGAGACTCTGATGGCGTGTTCCCTTCCTCAGCTGCGCCCCAGCCCCAGGAGCCCCCAGCGGGGCCCTCAGAGGCAGAACAGTGGCTGCAGGCGGAGACTGAGCGACTCCAGAAGGAACTGGAGAGCCTGGCCGGGCAGCTGCAGGCTCAGGTGAAGGACAACGAAAGTCTGAGTCACCTGAATCAGGAGCAGGAGCAGCGGCTGCTGGAGCTGGAGCGGGAGGCCGAGTGCTGGGGGGAGCAGGCGGAGGAGCGCAAGCAGATTCTGGAGAGCATGCAGAGCGACCGCACCACCATCAGCCGGGCACTCTCCCAGAACCGCGAGCTCAAGGAGCAGCTGGCTGAGCTGCAGAATGGATTCGTCAGGCTGGTATGCAGCCCCGCCTGGCCAGCCCACTCTCCTCCCTGGCCACGCCCTTTGGGGGTGGGTTGAGACACTTAACCCCTCTGGCGGCTTTGGTTTTCCCACCTGTAGAATGGGTGATATGGACCTTTCATGACTGGTGCCCACAAAGGCACCCTGGGAGCCAGAAAGCCCCGCTTGGTGGGACATGGGAGGCCGTGCATGGGGGTGGACTTTCCTACCTGGCTCCACACTTCCCTGAGCTGTGGGAGCCAGACACCAGGTTCTGGGGTCTCCAGCTGCATGGGGTGGCCACTCACTGCCCCTCTCTGTGCAGTCCAATGAGAACATGGAGATTACCAGTGCGCTACAGTCCGAGCAGCATATCAAGAAGGAGCTGACCAAGAAGCTGGGCCAGCTGCAGGAGAAGCTGGGGGAGCTGAAGGAGACGGTAACTCCTGCCCCCAAAGGAAGGCCTAGGAGACAGTCACCCCCCCCCCCCCAGGCAGGGAGGTGGGGGGCAGCCAGAACAGGTGACCGCAGGGTCCTTCAGAGCCTGTGACTGATTACCCCCTGGCCTCTGACTTTCAGAGTTGGGTAGCCCTATGCCATAGGTCCTTGTCCCTGCTAGAGGCATCAAGCCCCTAATTAGAGAAGAGAGGATAGACATACGGTGGCTGGCTCCTTGGGTTCAGCTTTGTTTTTCAACCTTGCATCTCTAAGGCTCAGTTTGCTTATATTAAAAGGAAGTTAGCATTTTTCTCCTAGAAGCATTGGGGATTAAAGGAGAATCCTGCAGGTAAAGCTGCAGGCATTCAAGTGTGTACCTACAGCTGTTGGCCAGAAAAGCTCTTCTGCTTTTCCACTCATCCACAGCCTTGAGTTAAGATAGAAAGAAGCTTGCTATGAGGGTTGAGGCTGGGTGAAGGCAGCATGGGGCTCTGGGAGAGGAACCTGGGGCCCGGGCAGCTGGCAGAGCCCTGCAAAGTGTCTGTCTCCAGCCGAGGGGTCTGCGCCTGGCCTTCCCAGCCCAGGGGCTCAGACTCTGGAAGTAAGCCACCACCCGCCCTCACCCCCTGGGGTCTGCCTGCAGGTGGAGGTGAAGGGCCAGGAGGTTCAAGATGTGCAGCAGCAGCGGGACGTGTACCTGAACCACCTGCAGCAGTATGTGGCTGCCTACCAGCAGCATGTGGCCGCCTACCAGCAGCTGGCCTTGGAGAAGGAGGTGCTGCACAAGCAGGTGTTACTGCAGACCCAGCTCTTGGACCGGCTGCAGCGCGAGGAAGTCCAGGGCAAGGTGGCGATGGAGGTGGCCCGCCAGGAGTTACAGGAGACCCAGGTGAGGGTGTCGGAGCGCTGGGCCCCTGAGAGGGAGGCCTGCGGCCTGTGTCCCTCCTCACTCTTTTCCCTGGCCCCTTAGGAGCGCCTGGAAGCTGCCAACCAGCAGAACCAGCAGCTTCAGGCCCAGCTGACCCTCATGGCTGTGCCTGGGGAAGGTCAGTGGGAAGGCCTGGAGGGAGGACACTGGCCCGAGGAGCAGGGGGACATCTGGCAGCATGGCACTGAGTTGTTCAGCCATGAGTTAGATGAGGCCACAGGGATGGCGAATCCGCTTCCCCCGGCCACTGGCTGGCCCAGGGCTGCAGAGTGAGGTTGGGGCAGAGCTGGCCTCCAAGCTTTCTTCCAGGCCTGCTCCGCCTCCGTGGTTGGGGGGTCTGAAGACCCCCTGTCTGTTCCCAGCAGGAGATGGACTGGACAGTGAGAAGCAGGATGAGGAGGCCCCGAGGCCTAAGCTGAGCGTGCCAGAGGAGCTGGAGAGCCGAGAGGCCCTGGTGAGCAGACCTCCGTGCTCTTCGCCCGTCTCACGCCCCCACCGCCACCCCACCCCACCCCCAGTGGTTCCTCTCAGACACTCTTCTTCGCGGTTTCCTCCCTCCAGCTTCTTTGGTCGTCCCCCAACCTCCCCTGGGAGCCATGGTCAGCCACCATGTCATCCTCCAACCACAGGCATGCGCCCTAAGACCCCGAGAAGGGGCATGTCTGTCTGCCTGCCCACCCACCCCTCGCTGGTCCTGCGTGTCCGCCACAAAAGCACATGTGCCTTCTCCCCCACAGGTGGAATTTTTCCACTCGGCCTTGGCCAGCGCTGAGGATGAGCAGGCCCGGCTACGCGGGCAGCTGAAGGAGCAGAAGCTGCGCTGCCAGCGCCTTAGTCACCTGGCGGCTGCAGCCCAGGACGGGGTGGAAAAGGAGACCCCTGCCCCCAGGATTGGGGGAGACAGTGTGCCCGCGGAGGCCCACCAGGCCCTCCAGGTGGCCATGGACAAGCTGCAGGTGCGTGAGCTGCCCCCCAGCAGGGTCCAGGAAGGGTGGGGGGCCCTGTGGGAAGGTTGCTGCTGAGCCCCGACCCTGCCCTTCTGGCCTCAGGGCCGCTTTACGGAGCTCATGCAGGAGAAAGTGGATCTGAAGGAGCGGGTAGAGGAGCTGGAGCATCGCTGTATCCAGCTGTCTGGAGAGACAGACACTATTGGTGAGTGGGGAGGTGGGGCCGGGGCAGGGGCTAGGGGCTGGCTGGGGGCAGCTTCGCATCGCATCTGAGCCCCGTCTGCCCTCCCCACCTGCCGCAGGAGAGTATATCGCCCTCTATCAGAGTCAGAGGGCGGTGCTGAAGGCCCGGCATCAGCAGAAGGAGGAGTACATTAGCCGGCTGGCTCAGGACAAGGAGGAGATGAAGGTAGGGGTCCTTCTGCTGGTCTCTGCAGGTGGGGGTGGGGTGCGGTGGGGCTGCTGAGCACCTTTCCCTCCAGGTGAAGCTGTTGGAGCTCCAAGAGCTGGTTTTATGCCTGGTGAGTGAGCGAAATGAATGGTATGGCAAATTCCTGGCTGCCCAGAACCCTGCTGGTGGGCCCACTACAGCACCCCCCACCTACCAGGAGCCCGGCACTGCCGATAATGAGGGTGGTGAGTAGCGCCCTCAGGGGACTGGTGGGCAGGCAGGGGTGAGCTGGCATACCACTCCAAGCCCTGCCACCTTCTCTTCCCAAAGGTCTCCAAGAGGTAAGCCTCGCCGACAATGTGGAGTCCCCCCAGGGGGCCCTGCCAGGCCAGGCCACCCCTGAGAACCCCACCGCACAACAGATCATGCAGCTGCTGCGTGAGATCCAGAACCCCCAGGAGCACCCAGGCTTGGGCAGCAACCCTTGCATCCCCTTCTTCTACCGAGCGGATGACAACGACGAAGTGAAGATCATGGTGATCTAGTGGCCTGACACTGGCAGGCAGAGAAACTATAGACATGGGGCCGGGGGCTTTGCCCCCACCCATCCCTGCCTCCCCGTCCCTCCTTCCTGGCCCCCCCTTATCCCTAGACTAGCACGCTGAAACCCTTCAAGAAAGGGGTATAAGCCCCCCATCCAATGAGGGGAGACAAACAGGTGCAGACCCCTTGCCATCTTGGTCAGGGCTGTGTCTTGATCTCTGGACTGTTAATAGTTCCAGAGAAACAAAGAGCCAGAGGCTCAATTAAAGGCAGTTTATTTAAGAGGCAGGCCTTTTTGGGGAGCAGGGGCTCCCTGGTGGCCTCCTCACCCCTACCAAGCAGTCCTTTCAGAGGGGCTTATGCATCCTCTATTCAGAGGCACTTTGGGGCCAAGTGCCCCCTCCTTGCCCAGCTTGACAACTGGGCAGCACTCTCACAGGCCTTGAGACAGTTGGGCAAATTGAGGCCAGGCAAGGACATACGCTGATGGCGGAGTGGGTTCCCTCCCCAGTGTTCATACTGTAACTGTGTAACATTTTGTATATTCTGGAGGTAGGGCAGCCCCCCGTATCTCAGTGGAGGTTGGAGCTGGTGAATGGGGAGAAACTTCTATTAAATATTTGGGGCTGGGGAAACTTATTTATTAATAGTATAGGGTGAGAGAGAAGGTGGAGGCGGGGACGGGTTTGTGCCCGGGTGATTCGACTCCTGTTTCGTTTCACTTTTTATTTCTGAATAAATGAATTTAGCCATACTGCTTGTTCTGGTATGTGCCTTTCTTCTGTCACTGGGTCCTGGGGTCCGCGCCTTGAGCACTAAACGGGGAGCGGGTCGGGCCAGCAGAGGGCAGGCTTCTGGTTGTGCCAATCTCCAGGGTGTCTGGGCACGTCCAGCTGGGCTCTTAGAGATCTTTTGAGGCCTGTCACCCATTGCTGCCTGGTGAAGCCAGGGGGGCTCCCAAGGGGCTCTCAGGGGCCGTCCTGCCTTAATCGCGGAGTGACTCAGAAGCTGGATCTGATCTCAGGGAAGGAAAGCAGTGCCACAGCACCAAGTGCTGACTTCCGGCTCGAGAGAGTTCCATTCCATCGCCCTGTCCCTCCACAGTGCCTGGCCGCCCGCGCCTCTCCTCCCGGGCCCCCTGGTGGCCAGAGCAGGGTTCGCAGGATCAGCTGACTCCAGGTGCTTTCCCAGGAGGCCTCGGAAAGGCTGGGGCTTTCCCCGCCCCCCAACATCTTAAAGCATTGTATGGATAGCTGGGCCCTCCCCCATCCCTCACCGCAATGTTCAAACCCTTACCTCCCCCCAAGCGCCACAGCAGCGAACACAAGGCCGCAGAGGACACGCTGTTCCCCATTGTCCAGAAATGGGTTTTATTCTCAGCTGAGAGACAGCAAGACTGGTAGCGGTCAGAGAACCATACAGCTGCCAGCACAGCACCCCCACGCCCGAGGAGGGGGTTGGGACAGGAGGATGGCAGAGGGGGGCTGGCTGTCCACAGGCCGGGCATGACACTGGGGCTCATTGGAGGTGGCACGCTTTGGAGGGGATGTCAGGGTGACAGTGTTCGTAGTTGGGCTACAAGATTCCTCAAGGACAGCACGGTGATTGATTCCCGACACCAGAGGCGATGCTTGACCATAGCTATGTTTGTGTATATATATATATATATATATATATATATATGAGTATTTATAGGTATTTATAGAACGGGGCAGGAGCAAGACCACAGAGGGGCACGAAGTTTCACCAATGTCACACCTGGATGTGTCAGCTCACCACTACAACAGACTAAGTCACAGGTGGAGGGGAGGCTCTGGGGGCTGGGTAGCCACTGTCAAGTCACTGAACAGCCGTCCGGGCAGGCTTGGAAAGGGAGATCTCCGAGGAATAGGAGGGATCTGGTTAGAGGTCGAAGGGGGGCCTGGGGCTCTCAGGACGGGATGGACTTGCCTGACCCGATCGGCTGGCAGTTGGAGAGAAAGCAAAGAGAGAATGGGAGAGAGAAAAGCAGGAGAGAGCTGGTAAGGCAAAGGCAGCCAAGTCCGGAGGTGGCAGGGGGAGACGAGGGCATGGGCAAGGGTTCTGGAAGAGAGGAGAGAGACGAGAAAGGGAAGGTGGAAGGGAAGAAACTGGAGATGGGCAGGGGCCAGAGCTTCATGGGGGCCTGGGGTAAAGCTGGGGGCAGCCCCCACCCCACCACTCACGCTGTTCTCTCACACACCACCAGGCAGTGCACCCACAGCTCCAGACACGTGCTCGGCCCCCTCTGACATCCCTCTTCTCTGGCCTCCCTCCCCATGTCTTTCAACCCACTGGCCCGGGGCCATCCCTAGACTCAGGGGGTGTGGGGCCGTGAGCCCCACGCAACAGTCCCCAGACCTGATGGAGAAAGACAGGAAAAAAAAGAACACTGTTCGAACCAGGAGGCTAAAGCTAACAGCATGGCTGGAGGGAGCACTAGAGGCCCTTCTGGGTGGGCGGAAAGCCCGTGAGTCCCCCAAAGGGACCCTGGGGAGGCAGGGAGGGCAGGCGGCCGGATGCCAGTGGCCACAGGCTTATAAGTCTAACAGGGGAGCCTCAGCTGGTCGGGGGACCGCAGGTCGTGTAGGTGAGGCTGGGCCCTTCCTGCTGGGGAAAAGCAGAAGAGCAAGAGTCAGCACAGGTGCAGAGCAGCAGGCGGGTTCACTGGGTGAGTTTGGGGGGGGGGGCCCAGCCGGGGCAGAACTCAGAGAAGCCAACTTGCCCAGGTCCGCAGACACTGTCACCCCTTTGGCCAAAAAGGGTAGGCCACCCCCTAGGAGCAACAGGTCCAGGTTGGGGGAAGCCTGCGGGCTACCTAGCGTGCTCCACCTGGGGCCGAGGAGGACGCTGGAGTGATGAGACTATGGAGGCCGGGGAAGGGGCTGTGAGACCTGCCTGGCCTGTGAAGTGTGCTCTGGGCTGATGGTGTGGATGGGACACCCAGGCCCTCCAAAAACACTTGACCATCAGAGCCTTCGCCCCCCAACTGCTGCTCAGCTGCTGACACGCTTGAGGAGGTGGGACTTTGGACCTCCCCTGCCCTGAAGCTCTTCGGGTCTGAAGAGCTCCCCGGCGGAGAGCTGGCTGCCCCCGTCCGGGCAGCAGGGCTCACTCAGGTTGGGGAAGAAGTGTGGCACCCCAGGGTGAGGTTCCAAGGCCTCTCTGCCTCCTGAGTCCAGCCCTACACACCACCCTCACCAAGCTCCCTGCTCCTGACACCGTGAACCACGAGCTCTGCGCTCTTCCTGATGGCTCCAGAGGGCACCCCGGGGGGCTGCCAGCTTGGGTGCGGAGCCTGACCCAGGACCTCCCCAGGCTCTTGCCAAGGAGCTCGTGGGCGGCGCTGAGTCCCGAGGCTCGCTGAGAAGGGAGGTGAGAGAGCCAGCTGGCAGCGAGAACAGGAAGAGGAAAGAGTAAGTCTGGAGCTGGGGAAGGGAGAGGGAGGGGGTCCTGCCTCTGAAGTCCCAGGTGCGCCCTGCAGTGCGGAGCTGGTGCAGCAGGGGGCAGACACACCGTTCATGCAGCAGGCGGAGAGGCCTGTACCTACCGTGGCTGACGCTCCTCAGGGGTCACTGATAGTGATTCTGAAAGACAGCACGAAATCAACATGGCAGTTCACACGCACGGACGGGGCGGGGCCTGGGGCTGGGGGACACGCACACGCACACGCCCGGGCGTGCACACACAGGCGGTGAGGCCCCACGGCCCCGCATGCACACACTGACACACATGCCCACAAACAACACGCATACACCGCCCCCCCCAACCCCACCCAGGCCCAGCAACCTTGCTGGCCGGTGGCACGTGCAGCGTGGATCTGGGGCATGCAGCCACTGGGCACACTGAAGCACACACAGCGCTGCGGTCACAACACAGAAGCTTGCTCGCCTGCCCGCACACAGGAGGCAATTGGCACCAGCTCCCTGTACACTCGTGCCTGGCGTGCTCAGAGGGCCACCTGCATGGCTCCAGAGGGGACAGGCCTTGCTTTCTTAGAGTCCAGCTCTCACATCTCCACCCAAGAGCCTTATGTGGCTCCCTACTGCCCATGGCATTGAGTCCCAACAAGACAACCTCTTCAGTGGACTTTGAAGTTTCTCCAACCTGCTCCACCCCACCCAGGGCAATCTTTTTTGATTCTTCCTCATTCTATCTGCACTCTGCTCTGGCCAGCAGCTCTTAATGCATTCCACACTAAACCTTTGCCCACCTGCTGCTCCTTATCTCAAAGCACTCCTGGCTCTTCACCACCTGAACCTTATCTCAATCAGCTCTGGGATCTCACTGAAGTCAAGCTGCCTTGAAGCTTCCCAGACTGCTCTCTCCCTGAGGCCATGACTTCCCATGTGTCAGTCAGACCAGAGTTGTAGCAGGTACCAAATATTACAGCTCTCATGTCACACCTCAGCACAGGCTTGGGCATCTCAAATACCCTTAGAGATCTGAACTCAGGTTGGAAGTTGGCAGAGCGTTTCTATGGCCACTTTTGCAGTTAATGTGGTATCTCTATCTATAGTCACTGTCTCCCCTGATCCCGACTCCAGCCCTGGGAAGGCAGAATGTTAAATATCACTTCGTAGAAGGGAAACTGAGGCCCTGAAAGGGAAAGCGACTTGCCTGAAGGCCTACTCCAGTCCAGTGTCCCTGAACACCACCATGCTGCCTGCTTTAACCCCTCCACCTTGGCCATCAGGTCATCACAGAGCAAGCCCCATCTCTGCTTCATTTTAGATTCATGGATGTTAGACCCATGGCCCTCCCCTCCAGCCATCTGGAAACATAAATGGATGCTATTGGTCTGATGTGTGCTTCCTCAGAGAACATGGCCAGTGGAAACAGGGCAGACAGAGTTAAGACATCAGAGTGACCTTCCTTGAAAGAAGATCATGGGTCAAGAAGGCAAAGGCAAGGGTATGACACAGAATCCTTCTCCCTGGAAATTTCTGGGAATCGGCAGCCTTTACCCAACTTCTGCCCTCACACCCACCACCTTGGTCCAGGCTGGGTGGGGCCAGAAGCAAGGAGAAGGAAGAAAACCATCAGGCTCTCCCATGGCTCCCAGACCCCTTTCCCAGCTGCTCCATGCCCTACCACATGCCTGGGTGCCATTCTTATACTCTCACACCCGTGTGCACGCCCACACACACATATCACACACCTTGCTGGCCACACAGTCACAACCTGGCCTCTTTTCCTGTGGGACAGAGGCCGGACAACCTTGAGGACAGGTCCAAAGGTTCAGGACTGGGGAAGTGGGGGCACCAGGGTAGCCCTGAGTGTAAGTGAACAAAATCTACCCATCCAGAGAGGATTTGGGTTCAGATCCTCAGACCTGAGGTAGGCTCCCTAGGGGCTGGGAGACAGCAGTAGAGGATGGAATGGAGATCGAAGGAGAGCAGCTAGAAAGGAAAGAAGGGATGCAGTGTGGGAGAGAGAGAGTGAAAAAGGAGGGAAGCGCCATGCAAGTGCTGGAAAGAAGAGGGCAGGTGGGATGAGCCCCACCGCCCCCTTCCCAGAAACGACCACCTGCGGGACTCAGCGCTCCCTGGGGGCAGGCTCCGCCAGTCCTCGGCAACACCCCCAGTGGCTCTGGCACCCACGGTCCGAGTGACTTGGACAGAGGCCCGGCTCTGGCGACCCAGGCCGATGCTCCAGGATCCGGCCCCACCTCCCTCCCGGCCACTCCCGCCCGGCGATCTCTGCCATCGCTTTCAGCCCCTACTCACCTGGGGA